CCGCCAGGCACAAAAAGAAAACACCAGTCAGTTAACCGTGACCCTATCACCGTGTAATTTGTACCAATGCCACTGCTGTATTCACTATCAGGCGTGGCAAATTCAATGTATGCAATAAAAGCTCGTTCAAAAAATCCAAATAATAGTCGATACGTGCGAACTATCTGGAATATTCTAATCTTATATTAAACATAAGTATTGTTGTTCATGAATATTAATTTCTATTGCACACACGTACACAAAAAAAGTTAAATAACTGAAATTTATCCCAAAGTGTGCATTTTAGTATCCTTTATCAATTCCTGAAAACGTAATCGCGCTATTTTTGAACATTTTTAGTGAGTCTCTTTCTGTACCCAATGGGGTCAAGAACTAAACTTGTTTTATAGGCCGATTGGATAAATGATAAGTGATAAATAACAGTTGCAGTTATAGCAATACGATTTTCACCGTATTATTACGGGGAGAGGAAATTATTTTAGTGTTGAACACCCCTACAGACATCCTAAATGATGCAGGGGGGGAGAGATGACATTTTGTAAGCGCATGACGTTAATTAATATCAAGAATGAAACTCCGGCATTCCACCGTTCAACATTCAAATTTGATCATTTTCAGGATTAAATGTCACCATATTATCGGTAAATGTATAATAAATTGTGGTGTAGTATAATTATAATAATCAAATAGTTATTTTATTGTAAATAATAATACATTTCTCTGATACAAAATAGATGCGAGAAAATTTGACTCTTGTAAATAAAACTCTGTTGCTCAAAGGTTTTTTTCTTTAATGGTATAAATCGTTTGTAGACTATTTAATACGAACATACAAACATTTAGTATCGGTCTTCTGAGTATTATTGAGTATCGATCGTATAAAATAATTAGATAATGGCAAGTTTAAAAAAGCAAAAAAAAAAAAAAAAACCCGACCTGTTGTAGTATATTCGTTTTAATATTATTTATTAGAAACGCAATCATTTTAATTGTTTTTTTTTTTTTTATGTTTTTCGAGTTTTATAAGGACAACTTTTCCGTTGGAAAATGTGTGGGTTTTTTTCGAAAACTTTTCCCATTCAAAACAATTATTATTATAAAACTTTACCGCAGATTATTATTGTTTTATCAACCAACCCGTGTATAATATACCTACTCTATACATATTATACTGGGCATAATATTTTTCGTTGAAGATATTACGTATTTATTTACCGCTGGGAAAAAGTGGGTTAAAAAAAAAAAAAAAAAAATTTATAAAGAATATTAATCTTTATAAACGTAGTAAATCATATTATTATTTCGTTTTACTGACGTGTTTAATCTACTCGGGTGGCGCGCAGCGTTAATCCACACCAATGTCTCCAATATTATACCTGTACACAATATGCATATATATATATATATAGGTAGAAGTGGAATTAATTCTGATTGATTAGAAATCCAATTATTAAACAAAGGTGCGGCGGCGACGGTCGGCGGGGGGTCATTTCCGAAAGAGTATTAGTCGACACCGAAGTGGCCCGCAGATAATTAAGTTTATTAAAAAAACGATAGAAGGAAATAATGTATAGATTGGTGTAAGTAAGGTGGGTAAGCCTGCTATAATTTCAAATAAGAGAATTCGTTCGGAGACGATTGAATTGCCTTTATATTAGCTATATAGGTGTTGCGTCGTTCGATTTGTAATGAAAAAAACAAACAGAGACGAAAAATAGCATAAGTGTATTAATAAGTTTGTGAGGTTTGGAAAATGTGTTTTAGCCTTCTAAAGAGATTTTACGGTCGATTATTTTTATCAGTAATTTTATTATTGAGTTGCGTTTCTTTTTTTTTTCTCAGCTAGGCATTTCGATGTATTGGTCTACACTAAAAATCGTATTTCAGTCCAAACAACTTTTCTACATTGCGCCAATCAAAAAGTGTATAAGAATTTTTTCGTTTAATTTTTATCCCGTGGATACATATTTCAGAAGTCGTTTATCGATTTCCCTTGTAGTTTTCTTAACGAATGGGAAAAATAGAGAAAAATACGATTAATAAAATACTCTGCTCAAAATCGTTAGAATGTTTTACCGTCATTTACGGATATAAATTAAATTACTTTATCAATCCTCTCTTACAAATTCCACCCTAAAACTATGGCATACTCATCGGGCTTAGGGAATTTCTTTCTAGTTTTCGAACGTTTTCCCGTAAAATTGTAATTTTCTTCTGTTATACGAAAAGGCCGTTGATAAAGCGTGATTCGCCGAAGCTATTACTGACCGTCCCGAAGCTTTTTGAATATCTATGCAAATATACGCGTGATCGATAAACTAATATCCCATGTTCCGAAAACTAGATGCAGGCATTGATGAAATATTTCGTAAAAAATACATTTAATAGTTAAGATGCGGTTTGAAAAGGGGTCTAGTTTATGTTTGATGCGCATAGTCAATAAATACCATGAGTATACCCTATATAATTACGAAGGGCTGCGGGGAAATACGATCGTATTATTGGATACGATTCTAGAAACCGTTCGATTTTCTCGGACTATGCTTTTTCTTTGCCACGATATTTTAAACACTTTACTGAGAGGACGATCGTGATATTTTTACCTTACTCGATTCACGGCATACATTTATTTAGGACAACAAACCACAAGTTATCTTCATTTTAACGATCTATTGGCTACGATCGTTATTTCCCGTCGCCCTTAATTTGTTGACTTTAATTGTACTCAAAGATACACGCGAACAATATTGTATTTGTCTTGTTTGTCAGAGAGAGCTGGCGATACTCTGATTTCTGTTTTCGAAATGGTATAAATCGCACCTAGAGGTACTCGTTTTACGTTTAACATTATCAGCTATTGCACATTGTTTGCAATATATTTATAGCCCCTCGGTCTGGTGTTCAGTAAACTTTCGATAGCGGTAACGCGAAAACTTAGTTGTGGACGAAATAATTCATCAGTTTAGTGTTTACTTATAATATATACGCAAGATACTCGGGGAAAAAACGGAAGAGGACGGCCAAGATGAAAGACCCGTCATCTTCTCTACACAAACCCGCTGGAACCGAGACCGACAATGGTAAATGTAGACACGCGACGGATAAAACCGGAAAAGAATATTAGCGTTGAACAGCCCACATAAGCGCGCACAAAAAAACCTACGCAACATAATATATTGTTTTGTTCGCACAAGACGAATTAAAAATTACTAAAACTGCGAAGCAATAACAGGTACGATTAAGCGACATTTTTTTTTTTTTTTAGTTGTATTTTATTTACGCGATAATCATTTCCGTACGTAATTTCGTTCAAACATATTATTCTAGCGATATTTCATTTTTATCGTCGGTTTTAACGGTCGCGTTAAAATCGTAGTATATTGTGTGTTGTTTCCGTGTCCTCTTGCTCCCGTGCGGGTGTGCCGCAGTAACGAAATACTGTGCTTTTGTCAGCATAATTACTCAGTGATCTTAATAACTATACTAAAACGGTTATGTGTCTCGCAGCATAATATTATTCTATTTACGCGATACCGCTGAACGCCACCGCGCCGTCCAGATAATGGTACGTCAAAATTGAATAATTTCCTCGTTTCTCTGCGGATAAAACAAAATTTCGGCGTTTTAAATTATACCGTTACATCCCGCACTATGATGGGTAGGTCGTAGTTGTAATCGTTCGCGTGGGAAGTCGCCGGTAATGTAGGATATAGATTTAGTAATTTAGCGTATAAAATGAACAAACAGCAAAAAAAAAAAAAAAAAAAAAATCATCCGTAAGTAACAGATGTCTACCACTAAAGTAGAATTTTTTCTCGCCTATTTTGTAATATATAAAAAATGTTATTACATTTATACTATATTTCTAAAAAAAAAAAAAATAATAACAATAATAATAAATAGTCATGAAAATGGGAACGGAAATTGAAAGTTGAAACCACCGAAAGGTACCGATTTGAAGTGAACGTAATACATAATATTATACAAAACTTAATTCGGAAGGCCTATTAGTGGTGTTCAAATTTGAAAAAATACCACTCTCCAGCAACATTGCGGTGCAATTTGTATTGAAATTTAGTCTAACTTTGATCACATTAACCTGTCCATAAATCAATTTTAATACGCGTAGTAATATTATATATCGAATATAATCCCGAGCAATTTTCGACAAAAAGTCAAAGCTGAGGTGACGTTTTACCGTAGTTGAGAAACCGTGACAACCGATAAAGTAATTTTCGTGCGTGTAACCGAGGAAACTTAAAAATCGACAAAACAAATTTGAAATTTAATAATCCGTCCTCGAGACATTGTCGGTAACCCACTATTATTCATTATTTGTATCCATCATTGTTTAAAATCTTTGCGTGCTAGGTTTCGAACTAAATCTAGGAATTTAGTTCAAAACCGGTGTATCGCCATTTGTTGACGGTTTTTTAAAAATAATTTTAAAAACTGTGGAACCCGGAAAAAAATCTGATATAAACCGGATAGAAAATCTTCTATTTTTAAAAACTGTATGCCGTGAAAGTGATCCCGTTCTCTTTTACAGGATCTAAACAAAATAAATAATATATTCGACTGCCCGAATCATAAAAAAAATGTACACGTGCACGTCTTATTAATTTTCATGTTTTGAATCAAAATTCTGAATAAAATTGAATTGCACGGATTAGTTGATAACACACTTTTGGTCGAAATATTTAAATTCTCTCTGGAATTAATCTTTGAAAATTCAATAACTCATAAGCAGCGACCTGCAATAAAAAAATTATTAAAACGGCTCTATACTAATATCCACTGTACAATTTGTGAATTTCAACTTACAAAGTTTTGTATGACTGGACAGTGGTATTGTAAAAATTTGCTCTGGTCGACATAATATTATACGAGTCCGTAACTATTGATCGTAAACGACTGCCGCACAACGGGAACACGCATTTTCTGTATACGTCGGTTAGGGCGATGGGATTTCCGAGGAGCTTGAGGAGTCGAGCATTACGATGAGTGGAAGCGTCGTCGCACTACACGTCGTTTGGTTGTCCGTGATGGTGACCTCCTTCGATACCACGGCCATAGCCAAGAGCAGCGGTCCCGAAGACACGCCCTGCCAGTCCGTGGAGGGCGCGTGGATGTCATCCAACATGGAAGCCGTGTTCGAGACGAGGGCCACTACGACGTTCGGTCGGCTGGATTTTTGCGCAATCGAATCGGACTGGATCGGTGGTATGGAGGTACTGTTCGGTCCCGGCGGGATCGTGTCCGCGCTTATCAGCCAACCCGACACCGGCGTCACGGCCACGTTCGTCGGGCACTGTCGCGTCGTAGGTGGAACGGACTCCATGACGGGTAAGCCATGACCGCGACTCGGGATTGAGAACGAGCGTAGAATTGATAGAAATCGTGAGAGATACGGAACAAGAATAAAGACGTGAGAACGACGGTGTGTGGTCATAAGTCGAGAGGAGGAGAAACGATGGTCAAAAAGTTTGGCGAGTGGAGCGTTGACGTGAAAGTCGGGGTAGACCATTGAAAAGTCAATTGAGCGAGATGATGATAGACATAAATTACAGATGGGAAAGGCAAGCATCGAGACGAACAGTCGATCTTATAATAAGCGTGTGGTAAAAGCGAAGAAGCAGAAGAAATCGATGAATTTGAAATACACGATTTCGTTTAAAAAAAAAAAAATTCCTATTCGAAACCCTTATTTATTAATACTGCAGGTGGTGATTGTCCAAAGCACGACCGTTTAGAAATACCGTTTCTTTTGCCAATTTTATTCGCTATTTCAATAGCGAGTGTGGTTTTGTGTGTTTTGGGGTTAGGTTGAAAAATCTTAGTTTTAGACATTTGAATATTTGAATAGCGGATTGTTCGAGGCGTTCTCTGAAAAAAGTCGCAAAGAAATAGTGAACTAAAATTGTCTCTCCGAGTGACCGTATAATGGACATAGATAATACAAGAATTAAAAATATGACAACGCTTTCACATCGAGCCACGTGCTTTTTGAGGAATAGAGAATGACGATATGGGACCTTTATGAAGGTTAGTACCGAATCCGTTTTATCTATTCGAAAACGAGTTAACAAGTTAACAAATTGTGCGTTTGTTCTTGAAAATTGGAATCTGGATGCTAATTTAATTTTACGTGACTAATTATAATCACTTATCATAAAAATAACAATATCGTAAATATTTTCTAAAATTACACAAGAGAATTATTTAGAACTAAATTTTCTTGCGATTAAGTTTTATGTGCTATCTATTCTTTTATTATCTATGATAAATTACCGCAGAGGACATAGCTCGCAGATTCCCGACCTTGTCCTTTAAGACCGTGGTCTAGAAATTATAATTATTTACAGTCCAGTGTAGCGTATAGTACCAAAGTATTGTGTTAGCTATGTTTTGGTTTATTATTATTTTTTTTTTCGGTCGCAATCAAAGAACTCGTTTGACCGTTTTCCGATATTTATTTGGCGTCTTTGCTTTTAAACACGAATATTGACAGCCGTATAGTAGTATCCTCTACAAGTGATAAATATTTCATTTCAGGCGTATGGGTTTTAGCGTCACCGGAAAAAAATAGATTGGGCAACCATTTGGCTTTACAACCGATACCGGACACGTTGCGTCGGTTAAACAGCCAATAAAACGAATGTCACGGACACTCGTTATCAGCTGCTATTAACAAGAATTTCCTGCATTTGTTGTGTATAAGAATAATATTATATTTCGTTTTTATACTTCCATCGGAGCTAATGTTATGATGGTTTTACATTGATACTACCGTGCGTTTTTCTTTTCAGAACAGCACAGTTTTTTTGAAAACAATTTAATGAATACGCTCAAAGAGTTTCGTTTGAAAACTTAATAGACAAGACGTTAATTCGGCACGGACGTAACGGTTTTTCGAATTATCCAGTTCAAAATTTGACGAAAAAATATTTTACAAAATACATACATAATTACGAAGTGCCTACAATTATTTGTATTTATTTGTTGTACACGTAGTGCAAATGTGCAATACTCATTTCGGTTCATAAGAATATAACTGTGTCGACAGACCGGCAAAAAGTGGTGCAGTACGTCCCGGAAGGCTTGAAATGGAGACGCGAAACAAATTTACGGATTTCGTCTTTAGAAAAGTACAGTTTTCTCGATTCCACTTTCTTGTTTTAAACTTATACTATACAAATTTCCAATTAAAACCAAACGATTTAATGTAAAACGGTTTGGAGATTCCGGAGACATAACACGGTACACACGCGTATAGTTCGTTAGATAAGCTTGTCCAATTTTGTGGATCGGTTGAAAAGTAAGTATACTGCTCCGCGTCTACCATACTTGTTAGTGTATTTATTATTATTTTGTTTTTGAAACACTATTAACTCGCCGTTTTCAATTTTATTGTTTCACTACTACGTCGGTTACATTGTTCGAATCGAATTTTACAGAACGCGGCGTTTTTTATAGACTACACAAATGACCGAGTTGCACGTAACCGCGTAAAACGAACGCACACCGGGCGTCGAAAACGCGATTTTAACAATGACGGTATTATTAAAATAATGTCAGCCTGTAGTTCGAAGTAATTATGATAATATATTAAATGCACCGATAACGTCACAGTTATCTACCTGTTGCTTATAGATTTATTGTGTAGCGGTCAAACAATCGCGACCAATGCATCCGCGTAATGCGTTTTAGCGCAGTGTCGTTTCGTTTACTCCGTGCGACACGAGACCGTTCCGGAATTAAACCGGAACTGTCCCGATTTTTAAGACCGCGTCTCGCTTTTGTGCCGTTCTCGCGAACATCTTTATTAAATGTAATATCGTTGTTTCGCAGAATCACTCGCAAATAACATTGTACGACCACGCGTAGAATTCGAATATTATATTACAGTCTAAAGGACCCGGAGATATATTTCGTTCCTTTTGCATTAAGCGCGAGCAGTGGCGCGGAGAATATTCGCGAACGATGATGCGTAAAATACATTTTGCCGTTCGACCCGACCCGACTCCCGTGTAACGTAGTACGGCCCTTTGTGTACTTTTGTTTTCATTTTTGTCCGATTCGACAAATATCCTTGAGTCACTAAACGGAAAACAAATAAGCAGTTCGGTACCTAACTGGTTTCAAGTTGGCGAATTCCCCTGCTAATTTTTTCACGCCACGTGCCGAGTGGTGTGAACGAATGGGTCGCCTAAATTTTATCGCCGGTTTACATTGTCAACATTCTGGCTTAGACGTGACGTTTGAAACGTTTGAAACAGTGCGACAGCAAGCCAAGTCCGAAATTTCTTATTAAGTAAAATAACATGACATAAATACTACATAATTTTTTTAACGCGGCAATAATACAATACCGTCTACCGAGTATTGAGAAAACAACGATGAGGACTTTCCCGCTGGTTCTTTCTCGGGTGGTTTTTTTTTTCTTTCTTCTGAACAATTTCGAAAAGTGGACTTGTTGAGGCAATAAGCCCTTTAGTTTAGATCAGTTCAATTGAATGTTTAAGTATAGAGATCTTTATATGGACCATAATATATGATTGTTTTTTGGAAAATCATGTTAATATTTTATCTACGGAATACTTAATAGTCGACAAAATAGTATTCATCCAACAATAGATTTTGAACAATTTACCGACTCGCCCACCCAATTTCAACCATGCACTCTAGACGTAATGAAAACCCCATCGCCACGCCAATGAATACAATTTAAAAAATTGGTAATTTTACAATTAAAATACGTATATAATGATAATAATATCATATAAAATGTAATTTTATAACTACCAGTCGTGTACCGAAACACATTTAATCGTTTTTATCTGTGGTTAAATTGTTGAAACAGTCCAAACGAAAGGTTTGTTTGATCAACGAGTCGTTCGTTACCTAACAACCGCTTAGCTATGCCTTTTATACAAATATTAAATTAATGAAAGCGCGCGTCTCCTGTAAAGAAAAAAACCTAACTCTTGAGCGTGCGCTGCCGTTCTTAGTAGAAGTGGATAAGCCATTGCTGGGGTGACGAGGGTCTAGGAATCTGAACCCTCGGATGTTTTTTCTAACTACGTCTAATTAGTATATATATAAAAAATAAACTCGTTAATTTTTATCTCTTCCGTTACCGGAGGTGAACGATATTATAATAGTAATACATTTTCTACATGGGAGCAAAAACAGTTAAAATTGGGGACCCGAGAATAGACGTTATTAAAGAAAAATCAATTTTTAATATTATTACTATTTTTTTTTTTTTTTTTAAACGTGTCATCGGCGTAATTTACGCATAATTCTCGATTTAAAAAATGACGACAATGTCCCAGAGGATAACTAACTAAATTTTTTAAAAAATTTTTTTTCATTAGATTTCGGATATAGGTACTTGCAATTACACTTGTTATTCTGTCGTGTTCAAAAATCGTTAAGTCGCAATCGGAATAATTTAAATATTTTATCATAACGAAATATTATGTAAATATCTATTTTTACTCATTGAAGTCGTATTTTTTTGTAATTTAAACTTTTTTTTTTTACACCGTCAGTATTTGTTGTTAAGACAATAGTGTTCAAGTCCATCAACAGGTCGAATCGCTGTTATTAGTTTTTTGTCGCCTGTTGTTTTCGTTCGTACATTGCGATTCAAAATAAGACTGCTAAAATATACTCGTAAATTAAAAATCACGCGGTAGGTATGCTTTTGCAATTTGTCATCATTGTCGGCGTTGTTAATTTTCGAGACGTTTTTAGTGATGGAAAACTTCGCCGTGGTAATGGTCTTAACTTTTTTTACGACTCATCGTAAGACCATCCATCCAGTAAAACAAAATATTTATTCGATTATGTTTATAAGTATTTAAATATTTACATTATGTAGGTACGACAAATATTAAAACTACATTTTTATCTATGCGCACGTATAAGTAAATTATTTTTATTTTTTTTTTACATTACTAACCTCCTCGGCACCAAATAATCAATGATACTAGTTTTTCAGTTCAACGAAAACAATATCGGTACATCGAGTCGACCAGGTTGTCCACTATAAAATTACATTTGATTAGTTTTTGTTAGTTTTGTTTTAGATTCTAAGTAATAACGAGGGCCGAGGAGTGTACTGGTTTCACTACGATGTCTGTAACAATTTTCGCATTTGTTAAAAACTTTTTTTTAACCAGAAATCTTAATCCGATCATCACGTGTAGTATGTTTTTCGTGAGAAAATGTTGTCCAGTTGAGAAATTCGTTTTTTTCACCCCTTATAGTATTGGTAATAATTAGAGAGAAAAAAACGGGAAAATGTACGCAAATTTCCGTCGCTTTTTATATCGTTTCATCGCGGAGAATGGCGATAGACATTTTCACTCGAACTGGCATTGGATATTTCCGGGCGCGGTAACGTTTCCGAAAACATTTCGAGCCGTTTATAGGCGTCTAAAACGGTCGCGGTTTTTTGTGTTTTTTTTTTTTGTTTTAATTTGCACGTGTATAAAACGTACAGGCTCGGCCCAGCAACGTTCGCTCGGGAACACGTAGACACCCGAGGGGTTCGTCGCAAGTCGCACTCGGCGCGGAAACAAAACCGAAAAACAACCGTCCGGCTCCGACGCAAACGGTTTCACGCGCGAACAATACCCACCGGGACATTGTTCACAATCGGTTTTGCTCTTTTCGCTCTCGTCCCGCCCCGTCCGAACACGCCGCGGCCGCGACGCGCGCGCGATCGTTGCCGCGACGATTTTCGAGCCGCGCGCGTGCTCGTCGTAATAATACGCGTGCAATGACGGGTTTATTCGCCCGGAGCGTTTTAAATTTTATCCGGGCGAACACACGGACGTGTTCGCGCGCGTTATTCGAAACGCGGCGTAATAAAATTATTGTGTATGGTTTTTTTTGTTTTTTTTTTTTTTACCGCGGGTACGGGGCGGTATGCTCAAGCGGGCCGGCGCGAGTGCGCGTGTTGCGACATCGCGCCGGTCGGTTTTTTGCGCGCGGGTTGCGCAAAACTCGTTTCGTCCGACATCCGATTCTCCGCGCCGCCGCCGCCGTGTTGCGCGCGCCCGTGCCGACGGAACGCGGGCCGCGAGCGCCCGTTTCGTTCCAGTTCTGTCGGGTGGCCGCGGTGCGAAATGCAAAACATAAACGATCGGGAGAGGAAAAAAAAAAATAAAAAATAATACGCTCGTACCTCCCGGGTAACGCGTACGCGCGGGCGGTGGCGGCGGCGGGCGGGAAACCAGATGCATACCCGCCGCGTATATTATAAATTATTGTCGCGCTAGCGCAAGAGAAAAAAAAAAAAAAAGAGAGAAGAAAAAGAAGAAGAAAAAAAAAAAGAAAAAAAGAGGTTTGACGACGACGTTCGTACGGTTCGCGTGTGTGCGCAACGCGGCGCACACACGGTCGGCATACTAAACGACCCAGGGATATCGTTCCCGTCCGTCCGTATAATGATGATGCGAAATAATAATACGCGCTCCAGTTTCCCAGCCGATTGTATTATTTTTCAATATACGAGATGGCGCGTTCAGTATTGCCGGCGATTGTTTTTCGGTTCTTCTCGAGAAAAAAAAAAAACAAAACGCGATTATCGTTTCATTTCTGAATCGCGTACTATAATACGTACGGGCTTACG